TATGAGGAAGAGGAAAGTATGGGAGAGCTGAAGATAGTTCACCAACAAACTAGGTGAGGCAGGTGCAGCTTCAGAGGGGGACTGAAGGCCAAGACAGGAGAGTCAGCGGGAAGGAGGAAAAGGTATGGGAGACTGAAAACATAGGTCTATGCTGGGGAGAGAGGAACGGTTTTATGGTTAGCTTTACCTTTAAGCTCGGAAACAGATCCACGACTACAAGACAAGCTGATAGGACTTTCTCACTATGTAGTGAATCACAGCTAAAGTTTGTAAATGATCAGAACTCAGTCACACTTGTTGGAGCAGGGTACAGGCTTGGTTTGTTGCATTTCTGTTTTTGAAGGACTTGTACTTCTTCTTCATGCCAGAGAGCGTACATTAAGTTTTTACAGGAATGAGAGAATCTGATATGTGGTTTTGTGTGATTTTCAGAACACAGCTGGGTTGTTTGCTGACTAATAATGCCTCCGCTTGCTCGCTGAAGTCACACTTACGTATGTCAGCATCATCAACAAAACACTATCATCCTTCCTCCCATCTCACTGTTCCCTCCTGCTTTCAGCTCCCAGTGTGTGAGTGTGTGTTGCTACACGTCCATGAGAGAGAAAGTGAGCACCTTTGTGTGTCCATATGTGTCTGGGTGGCAGAGAACGCGCTGGACGCCCTGCTGGGAGCACAGATGGTGCCGAGGCCTGCCACGACAGCACTGACGATGGCCACATTCTCACATGGGACCCCCAGTTTTCTGGATCCCACACCTCCTGTTCAGGCCTGAACCAACACCACCCCCACCCCCCCACCACCACCATCGACTACCACAAAGACACACACACAAGGCCAGGGTCCAGGCCACTGCCTATTTCACTCAGCTGGAAGAAAAGACAGAACACATGGACAAGTTGGCGTTCACACGCTGAACCACAGTGGCTCCCTGTGTGTGAGTGTGTGTCCAAGTGAAGTAAGCGATGAAAATGTGAAAAGTGTCGAGTTACATCACTGTCAGATTTAAAGTTTCTGGGGCTAAAGGACCGGTCGCCACTGTCTCCTTTTTGCATCTTACAAACTGCCTTTTCTCCCCCTTCATCTTCATTTTTGCACACTTTCATTTGTCTCCTCTGTGTCTGTGCTTCTCCGTCTTCTCTGTCTAGCCTCTAATTTCTTCTCTCTCCCCTCTTTCTCTCCCAGATGCCCCCTGTAGCTCGCCCTCCACCTGAGAGACGCCTCATACATCTCCTGACAAAGTGACTAATCCTTCCCATTTCACAGCTCCATCCCACTGCTCCCTGGCAATGCTCAAAACTGGGTGTATGTGTTTGTATGTGTGTGTGATAGGTGACAGGTGGGAGTATGTCACACGAGTTCAAGGTGTTTTTTGTTGTAACAAGCAGCTCAGACAGCTGCAGGCTCTACCGACTGATTACAGAAATAACTCCATCACAGACGTAGCATCAGAGTGACATCACTTCCCAACTTCTTGATGACAGCTTTGTTAAAATGAGGTCCACCTACAGAAACAAAAAGAGGATAGATTTATGGCCTTTAAGGTGTGCACAATTTTTTGCTCTAGCCTGGAATACAATTTGATCCTTTCCAAAAAAGATCAGATTTCAAATTTGCATCTTATTTCCAGTGAAACAATATTAGGTCTCAGCTGGATTGGTGATATAAGACCTGCAAGAAATAATCAGAACCATAAATCAGTGATCTGCCAGTTCTGAGTGATGATGTGAACCACAGTAAGAGCCCATTTAGCAGAACAAACGTGTTTTTCCTGCTGCCAATGAGAAGTGACAACTATCTACAAACACCAAAACTGTGCTCAGATAGGAGGTGAAGCAAATATTTTGCCTTCCCTTAGTGCACAAATTTTACCCCTTGTTGTACCAAGGCTCGCAAATGAAGCCAGTGCAAAAATGTTAAAACCTGCAGTTCCTCAAATGGCCACTTGAGCATCTTGACAGTAGGAATAAACATGTTTACAGCCTGGTCTCTACAGCTAGTTTCCCCTTCCATGACAACTGCACAGGGGGTACATTTTTATGTAACTCGCTCCTTCAGATTATATAGAGGCTAAAAGTAATGCATAACTAAGGGCGTGGCTGCTTTGAATGACAGGTGAGAGGGTCCCTCCATTGGTGGCTAGCCGCTAGCTGTCTAGTGAGCTCCACTCATGTTCCACCTTTTTGCCCATGTTTGGATAAGGTGGAGTTAGCACTGGCTTAAGACTCTTACATCACGATATTTTGTTAATAATTCTGATGCTTGATCTCTCCCTGTGTTTACCTGGGCAGGTCGTAGATTCCAGTTAGGTGGGGTAAACACCAGCCTATTGTGAGGCTGCACCTGTTGTTAGTGTTTTTATGCCTTCAAGCTGGTGATAGTCATGGCCATATGTATGTTCATCCCATTCTTGTGAATGTGTTTTTTCAAGAAGGCTGTAAGGAAATTTCTTCAGATTTGGCAAAAATGCCCATTTGGACTCAAGGATGAACTGAATAGGTTTTGGTGCTCAGAGGTCACTATGACCTCACATTCATCCCATTCCTGTGAACCTCCCTGTTTGGCAGAGGCATACAACCGCAATGTGGTCATTCTAGTTTTTTTCCTTTTTCTTGCGGTGTCAGTCTGAGTTATGCTGTTGAATTTCCCAGGCTTGAGGAAAGTTGGCTGCAGTTAGAGACAACTAAATAATACCAAAGAAACACAGTCATTACTTGTTACTTCATCAAAATGGTTTGGTTTTGCAAAGTCCAACATGGAATAAACCACTGCGCTGAAAAAACTTTGTAAAAAACTTAACTCAGACCAGCAGCTTTTGATGATGCTGAATGAATGAAGCTGACACTTTTCTATTGTTAGAGTCATACAAAAAAAGATTGGTAGCTTTTATATTGGGGTTCTCTTCACTTTTTAGTTTCTTTGGCTCAGGAACTTGTAGTATTTGGTTTGCAGCCAGAATGGGGTCAATTTTAACTATATGACATGAAAATAAGAAATACATTCTGTTTTCTGGCATATGTCAACTGACTGGTGCTGTTGTGTCACACCAAAGCTATTGCAAGCAGTTTTCCTAAAGAGGAGTATGAGTACACTGAGATTCAGTGCACATAAATCATCTCAGCCAGTCCAGTAAAGACTTCGACCAGCACCGTCATGACTAAGCCAAAAGTCATCCTCTGGTGACTACACCACCCTGCAGTTTGCCTCCCTGTCTCCAGAGTCAGTACATCAGCTGTGGGATGTAATTGCTGCAGGCACAAACAAAACAGCCTTGGAGGGGTCCTTCATGTCTTTGGCCCAGAGCCGTGCAAAATGAGGAGGGGTTGGTGCGACGCAGACCGCCAAGCACAGACCATCTCCACTTCTCTGTCTGTGGAGCTATTAGGGTGGTGGGCTGTGTGTGTGTCCGTGGGTTCCAGCTGTCAGGAAGCCTCTGTCTCCTGGTTCTGACATACAGTATCTCTGATACACCCCGCTGTGAGTCTCTCTATGTCACACACCCGTCACGGACCCGGCCAGAGCCCAAGGCGAGCTGTCTGTCATCTCACACACATGCATACATTCCCTCTCTGTTGCTCTCTCTCACACACACGTGGAGTTTTCACTGACATGGTCCTTCTGGCACTGCGGCAGTACTTCTCTCTCTGTCTTAGTGTGTGTGTGTGTGTGTGGCGGCAATATGCATGGAGGTGGCTGCGGGCCACGGCAAGTCATCCGTGCTTCCCCTTATCGTTTTAATCACCTCGTTAGGCGCAGCTAGTCCCCATACGTACTGGCCACTGCCCCTCCTCTGGAACTGTGCCCTCCTGACCCAACACTGGTGGTGCCACTGGGCACAGGGATGCATGATGGGAGGAAGAGAAGCGAAGAGAAACTTCAGAGCACCAGTCAAGTTTTCAATTGAGCATTTGTGCAGGGTTGTGACAATATACCGGTAGATAACATCACTGACCAATAAATATTTATAATTAAAAGAGAAATTAGTCATCTAAATTTGTTAAAATTGTGAATATCTAAATCACCTTAAAAGCTATACTGTAAAATTCAACAATTTTAATCTTCTCCATAGACTAAAGTGATGCAAACAAGTATCTTGATTTAAGGACAACAGAGTAAACCAGATATGAAAAAGGTTCAGTTTAAGTACAAGATATAACTATTTAGAGCACTGATGGCAGGTTCCAACCGGTTTACAAAGGGCTTGACATTATGCCGTTTCTACTCTTTTCCAAAATGCTGAAAGATATTTTAAAAACAAGGCAATGTATGCTTTTTCCATCTGTCTCTGTCACTGAATTGTTGCTGTCTTTCTTTTAGAGAAATGATCCCTTATCTTTCATACCACTCACTGCACTGCTCCTGTTGAAGATTCTTGCTCATTATTGGCTCAGATTGGAACCATGCAGGCTCAGGTGTGTCTCACTGAAGAAATAAGTCAGTCCCACGTTCAAGCTTCATTCAAGATGATTCAAGTCACATCAATGCAATGTTTATATTAAAAACAATAGCAACAAATACACATGTCAAGATATACAAAAACAAGAAGTCAAATATGAAAATATGTTGTTGAATTGTCCCTTTGAAAATCCCTTATCTCTCATCGCATCTCATCTTTGAATGGACTTGTGACTGACAAGGAGCTTCGGAGTTTAAAGTTGAAAATCATCCTTTCTCTTTAAAATCACGATAATTTTTTTTAAAATCACTACTGTTCACTAAAAACACGTGCACAAACTCACAGCACAGACACATATTTATTTATTTTCCAGCCTTTATCATGTACACATCTCTACTTTCCCTTTGCCCACTAGTCCCTCGGGAGGGAGAGCGCTTGAGGGCTGAGGGGCGTGAGGAGAGAAGGAGGGGGTGTGTGTGTGTGTGTGTGTGTGTGTGTGTGTGTGTGTGTGTGTGTGTGTGTCGGGGAGAGAGAGAGAGGGGGTGAGGGAGGGGGCGGTGTTAGACAATACCATTCCTCAAATATATTCCATCCCCTCCGTCCCTGAAGTGAGCCTTTATTAGTCGGGACCGTTTGGATCTTATCTCGCATATGACACTCGTTGGAAGAAAGACTGGAGCAAAAAAGAGGGGGATTATCTGTGAGCTGCCTTCCGATCCACTGATTCCTGACACGGGGAGAGACGCGCTTATCTCGCTCCTTTATCTCCATGTTCCACAGGCGGATGGACGAGTAGCCCTGGCTGCACTTTCACCACTATCTCCCCATCTCGTCTATTGTCTCTGCATCGCTGGGATCACACGGGGGGCTGCCTGATCCCTGCTCACATCATTGCTATCTTTTTTTTAATCGGCACGATCACTAACATTTGATCCGCAAACATTTCCCTGCTTGACGTTTAACCCCTGTATGATTCCCATGTCGCAAATCCGTGGCTAAGAAAGTAAAAAATTGTTTTTTACAATTGTTTTTTTCGTTTTCGTGAGACTCTCTTTAACATCTGACGGTTGTTTGGCCAGTGGAATATGAGTTAATCTGGAGTTGAGGCTCCGCTCAACAGCGTTTTAAGTTGGTTTCAAGAAAAAATAGCCTCCAACTCTTTGTCAAGGTGAGTCTCAAATGTGGAAACCAATTCCCCTAAAAAGAAGTCATATAAATTTGCTTTAAAATGTTTCTATCTCCGTCATATATTTTGGAATTTTTTGCAGCGTCGCCAAACTTGAACTTTCCTTGTTAATAAAAGTAAACAATAGCTAGTGGCTTCATGTCCAGCACATGTCAACATTATTTTTGCCGTCGTGTGCCTCCACGCTGTCAAGTCACCCTGGCTTCAGCCAAGCAGATGTGTTCATCACACTATGACAGATGGCTACTTCTGATTATGTTAATTCACCAAAAAAGGAAGTTGCTCCTTCAAAAATGGCCACAACTTGTATTTTTCTTCTGGATATTAAAAATAAACATGTGATAGAAAACTTAAAAGTGAACATTTATCTAACTGATCGGCTCCTTTTTAGGCCTTGGCCTCTTCTGAATTAACCATTTTTCTTATTTTGGAACATATATTATTTATGGAGCTTAACGTTATTAAGCAATAAACGTAGCCTGCCTTTGGATTTCTGGGGTGGACTGGCACCCAGCTGCGCACCCGCTGTGGGATTCCACATAGTGACAGAAAGCATTTAAAACAATCGTTCAGTTTTTCATGAATTTTCTTTTTCTTTGTGAGCTTCGATCAGCAGCAGACTTGCTGAGAAATGAAGCCTTTTTAACAGATATTCATGTGCCATACATGTGCAGCCTATAGGTCAGTGTTTTCATGGTTGCATTTGTCCATACAGCAGCTTCTTACGGAGGAGTGACAGCCAACAGCGGACAATAAAAATGATGCTGAGCCCGGACCAGGCTGAGGCGGACCTGTCCTGGACTCAGTCCGACCCGGAGACGATGCTCAACGGCCTCAAGTCGGTCGGCTGTGCCTCGGACGAGCCGGCGGAGGGCGAGGACAGGGCCAAATGTAAAGCCGAGCAGCCCCTGAGCAGGGAGGAAAAGAGGAGGAGGCGGAGGGCCACGGCCAAGTACCGCTCGGCCCACGCCACCAGAGAGAGGATCCGGGTGGAGGCGTTCAACGTGGCCTTCGCGGAGCTGAGGAAGTTACTCCCCACCTTGCCCCCAGACAAGAAACTCTCCAAGATCGAGATTCTCAGACTGGCTATATGCTATATCTCTTATCTCAATCACGTGCTGGATGTCTAAAAGTCACCCCCGCCTCCACGAGCACCACAGAGGTGCTCGGGTCGGTAGACTGGACTCAAGCGCATGCTGGGCGTCAATTGGGTACGACACGGTTGGCACGTATAGGCTCGACTGCTAAAGGAGAAAATTGAAAGCAGATGTTTGTAGCTCTCCATAGCTGATATTTGATGCAGACATCCACTACTTAAATTCCCCAGCTTTCAGCAGGTAAAATGAAATAAGTTCTTGGTATCCACAACTCTCTCATGAGATAAGTTACAAGATTAAAACAAATCGGAATAAACGTTCTAATTAATACAAGTTAGGAATTATTTTAGGGAGCAACCTGATATAAAAATCAGAACTGGCTCAGTGGGTCTAACACCTGTGATCATGATCTGACTTCAGCTTTGAGATTTTAATTACACACCAATAAAGTCAGCAAACTTGAACCCGTTAAAAAAATCCAACCAATTCAGCATTCAGGGCCAAACTCTCTAAAATAATGTTTTCCACCGAATTCAACCATCTTGCCCCCGGGTGCTGGGAGTTTGCCATACAGCACCTTATAGGTGACTGAGTTGACCCAGTGTGAGTGATGATTTATTACGATGGTGCAAAGTTGCTCTACTCAACCTTCAGTCCAGACTCACTGAACAAAAGCAACAAGCACCGAGTTGTTTGAGCTCGTAGATGCAATAATAAGGATTATTTTCCGATATACAGTGGGGGAGGATGGGGGAGGATGGGCTGGAAGAACACCGCGGGCATTCATGTTTCCTTCACAAGAGTGATAGAGGATGGAAATTGTGTGTGCGTGTGCGTGTGGGAGGGGGGGGGGGGTCAAAGACATTTTAATTTGGTTTTCCACATTAAATCATCTTCTGAAATTATTTAACGCCATGAAAACACTTCAGCCTAAAACGGACTCCCCTCTTCACTGTATAGTTTGAGCCCCAATAAAACAAACACTGAGGCATTTTTCCGAGCGAAATGAACGGATGTATAAGAGATAGCTGCTTTAGATCTAGTTTAGATGATGTTTTCCATAAAGGAAGAAAAAAGATCCGATGCATAAGTGCCACTTATGACATATAAAATTGTGACATTAGCCTAATCATTTTTTTAAAAGTGTATGGAATTATTTATTTAATTGTGTTTCTATTTAAGGCTAATTTATTTGTGTTGATGTCATAGGCTGGCGTCTTTTTGTAAATGTATATTGTTTGTTGCTTCTATATTTTAGGCTGTGAAATTGAACTTGGAAAGTGATGGTGTTCTCCTCTTTAAAATGGCACTTTCTGTTAATCCATAGCATAACTTATTTGTTTGATGTATATGTTTGATGTATGTCATAATTTCTTTTATTTTTAATGTCACTTCTGTTGTCTATTAATAGCAACGATAAGCACTTCAAAATGGGGTTCAGTGGCCCCATAAATGTTTATTTCCCTAAATTGTTGTTGCTCGAAAAAGAAGAATTTGGCTGCTTTTATTTATTTATTTATTTATTTGTTCAATTTAAAACTGTGTTTAATTGACAGAATAATGATGTCAAATTATGTCAAACAACCAAGGGGTTATTTTACGATTCAGAGTTAAACCTCTTTTTTGCTGTGACCAAAAAATAACAAATTCGAAAAATAGTTTGAATTTATTACCTTCAGTGTCTTGATGTTATATTTTTTTGATTATTGGTTTATTTATTTGTCACTGCTTTGTGTTACAAAATCCAACAAGTAATTTTATAGTGGACAAAACATATCCTCTATCCAAAGATTTTTTGTCTCTTCAGGGTTGTGTAGGCTACTTGTTGCTTTATGCAGATTTTGTAGTAGAGGTATCGTGTGACAGCTGGTTTCTAATGGACAAACTTTTCATATTTTCCGGTGTTATTTTTAATTAAAACGGAAGTACTTGAAAAAAATATTCTGTTTCCTGTTTTAAAATGAAGTCGCGATAGTTTTTGACTTTGCAATGTAGGAAAAAATAGCAAGTGATAGCCACGGCTAATAATCAGCCGGTAGGGATGATGGATGTAGCGCAGGATGACGTCAGGATCACGTACACGTTGTCGCGCGCGCACACGTGTGAGAAGTACACATGCAAATCAAAAAACATACAGAAGGCTTCTAGATGACTATCTGCGTACACATTCAATGTAAGGTGAAATAGTGTCAACACAAAACTCACCTTACTGTCCACGCACATGCAGAGACACACACACACGTACCCACTTAAACTTGGCCTGCTTTACAATCACGTACACAATGCCAGATGAAACAAACCCATGCAGATAAATAAAACTCGCCCTGTCGCCACACACATACACGCACACTAAGTGGTCAGCAGCTAAAGGCAGTGGTAGCCTCCATGTGTGCTCCTGGCTGAAAGGCTCTTTCCATCCCCAGAGAGGGGGCAGGTGTTACTCCAGACGAGCCAAGACAACCAAATTACTGGCCGTCTGGCACCTCCCGTGGGAAACCCGGAGAGAGAGGAGGGATGGGAGAGATGGAAATTTATGAGCGAGCAAGCACTGAGATGTAATATTGCCAAATGATATGAGCAAAAAAAGATCCAAATATTTATATTCATTTGTAATATATACGCCCATTCCCATCGATTGCACTATAAAAAGCTTGTAGTTGAGCTGCAGAATAGGAGATAGTAGAGGATGTGTGAATGCTTTTATCCAAGCCACATTAGATTATCATGAGTAAAACAGTTTTTTGCAGGAGCAGGGGTGGTCCCAGTGGGATTCGAACCCGTCACCCCAGAAATGCCACGGTTAAGCTGTTCCAATTGAGCAATAGAATGCATTAGGTCAAATATGTAAGAATAGAAACAATAAAAATCTATCTACTGTATCTATCTATCTGTCTATCTATCTGTTTTCAGGTAGCAGCTGCAGTGAGGCAGTAATGAAGCCACATTTCTCGTTTCAGGTTTTGTTATTTGTGGTGACTGAAGGTGGCATGAAATGTTCTTTCCTTTTCAGTTCAAGTGCCTCCTGTCCCTCACTTCTGTCAGATTGTCAGTCATCTGTTCTCATTTTACCTTCAGCTGCACTCACAGAGGCCAAAAACGTTTGTGGTGACAAGGCTGTTTTTACTAACCCACTTTTTGGTGATACACAAATAAAAGTATGCAACTTTTAAAAGACAAATATGTTCCTCCTCTTACAAATCAAAACTTTTTCTTAGCTACTATAAAAGATGCCCTTGCTAATTTCTGTAAACAGGTTCTGCTGATACAAGTTGCTCTTTTATAATCAGTGGCATGCCATGGCTAATGTTAGCAAATATTCCAAATATTAATCAGTTTGCTGACTATATTTTTTGAGTTTCAGCTCATTGTTCAGCTGTACCAGTCACAACTGTCATGGTGGTGGCCTTTTGACTGCAGTAGGCTAAAAAGCTTTATAAACATTGCCTGCTCACCACCAAAAGACAAAGTTCAACTAGCCGGTGAGTATAGCGGAGCATTTAGTAGCCAGATATTTCTCTCAAGAATGCACAGAAATCAAAAAGAGTGCTAAAAGGAGACTGACTGTTGGATTCACATTCATCAGGTGGACAGAAACACGGCACCAAATGGATGGTAATGTTCCTAATTTTAGTGTGGCTATTGGAGGTTTGAATATGTAACAGGTTGGCAGAAAGAAAAAGGTCATTGAAGCTTCACTCACAGTTTTTATAATTTCACTGAATGTTTCACTGATGTTTTATTAGCCAGTGTACTGACTGTAAAGCAGTTAGCTGTAAGCTAACTAGCAACTGGCATGTGACCGTATGTTTGGAATTCACCCTATTTATAATGTGGATTTGTAAAACCCCAGGATATGTTTTTTTTTTTCTTTTTTGCTTTTTTAAACAAGTTGAAACATAAATTTGGATTCTAAACAAATGTTCTGTGAAGTTAAAACTCATTTACATACACATTTTTTTTGTTAAAGCTGAAACACAAATTTGGATACACAGTTTTATTTGCTAAAGTTGAAACAAATTTGGGCAAATTTTCACCTAAGTGTGTCTTTTCACTAACTCTATGCACTAAAATTAGCTTTGCTTTCTGTCTGAAACCACAGAAACAGTAAACAGCAGTTTGCATGAGATAAAAATCACTGACACATTTCAGTGTTTGACAGTCTTTTGAATTTCATTGGAACATTTGTCGAATCATCATTCAAACCTGACTAGTCCAATATTTCACTCTGCTCTATTAATGCTTTTACAAAAACACAGAAAGAGAAGAACACCAATATGTTGCACCAACAGATTGTCCTCTTCAGAACACAAAACAAGCTCTGTGATTCTGGCATAGTGTGGAGACAGACTTCTGCTCAGGCTTATTGAATGGAGGAGTCCATCTGTACGTCGCCATGAAGCACTACAAGACCATTTGTGTTCCTCATCCCAAAAGCTTCCGTAGCATCAGTCCTCTTCAATTTATTCTTTACAAACCCCCAGAAGGGGCAGGGGAGAAAAGTGACAGGCGAAGCCCAAACTGCTGAGGGCACTGAACAGCCTGGCTGACAGTGTGGCCGGTGCATGCTTGTGTGTGTGTGTGTGTGTATGTGTGTGTGAGAAAGTACCATGTTTCACCACAACCCCCCACCCTCTTCGCACTGTGGGCTTATGTAATGGTGGAGGCCAAGGAGTGACCATATGTCATGAGGTGTGTGCAGACAGCAGGGAATTATACAGCGGCCATTATCGGCGTTTGGACACCCCTCTCCTCATCATCATTCAGGTACACTCAAAGCCAACAGGAGCACACACATGCACACACAGTACTCTACACACCCATTTAATTCTGAGAGCTCACTGTCTCTGTGTAAATTGGACAGGGAGAGAAAGTATGACAACAAACAGCCATATGTTCACAGTACGAGGAACAACATTTGGGGCTTTTTGTGTTGCCTCATTTTTTCACCCTCTCTTTTATTCTTCAGGTCGGTGGGTATTATGGAAGTGTTCATGTTCAAAGCGAGAACTCCCCAATCAGTATTGCGACTCCTGTCCCCCCTACCCCTTTTCCTTCCTTTTGCCTCTCTCATAGAGGTGTGTGTCTGTGGGAGTGCAAGAAGCATCCACATCCCTGTGTGTGTGTGTGTGTGTGTGTGAAGGGTGCTCATGCAGCACAAGTACAAAACCTGGTCCATGTGTTGAAATGCAGCCCCTGGGATGGGCCGTATTATCCCTCCCTACTTCACCAGCAGGGTCCCGGGGCTCGAGCTGGCTCGTGGCCCTTTGTCTCCAAACAGATGGAAATGGGCAGAGGAGAGGAGAAGCAGAGAATCAGGGAGAGCAGGGGAGGGGAAGGAGGGGGGAGGAATAGAATGGACGGAGGATGGAGGAGGAGAGGGGAGAAAGAGTCAGTCTGTTCTCATTAAGTGCTGTATTGAAGACGACGTCCCCCCACAATGCGTCAGCAGCCGCGGATGGTCCCCCTCTCATTCAGACTCACGCTCGGACCATCTGTACCGCGGGCCTGTCATAAGGTGTGTGCGCATGCATTAGGCCCAATCTGGCCAGTTAAAATGGTGATATTCATTGGGTTTCAATTTGGTTAAGATCTTTTAAATCCAATTGTAGGGCCTTTGTTGTGGATGCCTCATTGGTTTTGAGTCACTGTGAGTCAGAAGGGGAGTTTATTCAACATCCTGCTGTCCCCCCTCCCCCCCTTTTTTGAGTCTCAGAGGGCACACAAACATACAGCCAAGATGCAGATTAATAATTACTGAATCATAAAGACATTAAGGAAGAATTATCTCAATTTTAATCCCCTGTCATTGTGACTGGAAAATGAAT